ATTCATAAAAAGAAGACGTGCAGGGAAAGGATATTTGAGTAGGAAGAGAAGAAAATTAGTTCACTTTTGGATAATGTTGAGTTTGAGGCACATCCAGAGTATGTTTGATATACAGTTGTCCCTTGGTATCCATGAGGGATTGGCTCCAGGACCAAAAATCCATAGATGCTCAAGTGTCTTATATAATAGTGTAGTATTTGCATATAACTTACACGCATCCACCTATATACTTTATTTATTTATTTTGTTTTTTAGGGATAGGTCTCTGTCACTCAGGCTGGAGTGCAATAGCATGATCATAGCTTACTGCAGCCTGGAATTCCCCTCCCATATACTTTAAATCAGCTCTAGATTACTTATAATACCTAATACAGTGAAAATGCTATATGTAAATAGTTGTTAATACTGTATTGTTCAGGGAATAATGACAAGGGAAAAACGTCTATACACGTTCAGTACAGGTACAACTATCTTCCCCCCCCCCACATATTTTCGATCACTTGATTGAATCCATAGGTGTGGAACCCACGGATATGGAGGGCCAACTGTGTCCATCTGGATCACAGGGGAGAGATACAGCCTAGCGATAAAGTTTGAGAGTCACTTCTATATAGCAGGAGCCATGTGACTGGATGAGATTAGGAAGAATGGGGAAGGCAGGAAGCAGCCTTTAAGGATCAGGGAAAGGAGTACCCTGCAAAGAAGACAGAGAACTAGGAAGAAAACAAGGAGACAGTTCTATGCTAGAATTTAGGGAAGGGAGTTTTAATAAGGGGAGCTTAGTCAGTGTGTTAAATGCTGCAGAGAGGTGTGAATAGGTGGTGAGGAATTTGAGAGAGCAAGTATGCCCTACTTTCAAATAGCTAGGCTAGGCTGGGTGTGGTGGCTTTACCAGTCCTAGCACTCTGGGAGGCCGAGGCAGGAGGATCTCTTGAGCTCGGGAGTTTGAGGTTGCTGTGAGCTAGGCTGACAGCATGGCACTCTAGCCTGGACAACAGAGCAAGACTGTCTCAAAAAATAACAACAACAACAACAACAAAAAATAGCTAGGCTACAAAGGGCACAAACTAGGCCCTTACAACCTAGGAAGCCTTCTTGTATTCCCCCTCTCACCCCTCAAAAGAACAGAAACAGTTCAGGTAAGAGGAAGCTAATATTCATTCAAGCCCTGTGGTGAATTTACTTTCCTAAATCCTAAAAGCCCTGTTCTGTGATTGTCCCCATTTCACAGATTAGGGATGCATAAGGCAGGAGACATTTTTTAAAATGGGTGAGACTTGAGATGGGCAAGCCAGTAGCAAAAGAGGTTAACAATAAAGATGAGAGACAAGATAATAAATGGAGAAAGATTTCTGAAGTAGAGTAAGGTAAAGGCAGCAGTACATGTGACAGGATCAACCTGGAAAAGGAGGATGAACGATGTATTCCGAAATAAGAGGGAAGAAGGAACAGTGGAATTACTTGCAGAGGGAAGTGCCAGAGACTGTTCTCAACTTTACATACTTTCTCAACAACGCTGTCAAATGGGAGGTTGATGTATCTCCATTTCATTAACAAGGGGACTGATACTCAACACAGTTGCTAAGTAAATGGTAGAGTTGGGGTTTAAGCCTAAGCCTGTCTGCCTCCAAGGTCAATAATCTTTCTGCTGTACAGTCTCAGCAGCCCCAATCTGAAATGGGGACAATAACAACAGGGTTTTTAGGAGGATTTAGGAAGGTAATGTGTCTACCACGGGGCTTGAATGTGAGTATCAGCTTCCTCTGAACTGCCTCTATTCTTTTGGGGCTGAGGGGAGAAAGTCAAGAAGGCTTCCCAGGTTGTAATTTCCCAAGCTGTTTTTTGTCCAGCCCCTTTGCATACCTGACAAAATTTCCCTTACCGTCTTCCAGTAACAATCTCTTTTTTTTTTTTCCTTGGGACAGAGTCTTAACTCTGTCACCCAGACTAGAGTGCAGTGGCATCATTATAGCTCACTGCAACCTTAGACTCCTAGGCTCAAGCCATCCTCCTGCCTCACCCTTCCCAGTAGCTGGCACTACAGGTGTGTACCACCATGCCCAGCTAATTTTTTCTATTTTTAGTAGAGACAGGGTCTTGCTCTTGCTCAGGCTGGTCTCAAACTCCTGACCTCAAGCAATCCTCCCAACCCTGGCCTCCCAGAGTGTTAGGATTACAGGCGTGAGCCACCACACGTGACCCATTCTCTCTTGTCTTGCTCATATTTGCCCCATCATCACAATTACCTTTATGTTCACAGGGTCTCCAGGGCTTGTTTTCATCTTTTCCTTCATTAGGCCAAAAAATGCTTCTGTCTGAAAGTTGCCTGTGAAGCATTCTCCTAGTTCCACAGTTCCTTAGTTCCCTGGTTTCCCTTCTCTCCTCCTTCAGGTACAAACCTCCCTAATCTAAAGCAGGGCCTTCCTAGTCCATACCCCCTGAGAAGAGCCATTGGTATCAGGTGCACAGGAGGACTGTACCCTTGTATCTAATTACCCAGTATTTTGAATAAATCTGGAAAGACTAGCATGACTTACAAAATAATAAAAATATATAAGATAAAGCCAGGCATGGTTGCAGTCCTCTATAGTCCCAGCCACTTGGGAGGCTGAGGCAAGAGGATCACTTGAGCTCAGGAGTTCGAGACCAGCCTGGATAAGGTGGCAAGACTCTATCTCTTAAAAAAAAATGTTTTTAAATAAATTTATAAGATAAACATTTAAATTATGTAGAAAATGTTCTGCTTTTCTTGTCTCTGCATAGCCAATAGTTTCTGAAGATCAAACGGCAGCCCAGATGGCGCACCTCTTTGAAATGGGATTCTGTGACCGGCAGCTAAACCTAAGACTGCTGAAGAAACACAATTACAACATCCTGCAGGTTGTGACGGAACTTCTTCAGGTCAACAACAATGACTGGTACAGCCACCGCTATTGAAGAGTGACCTTGTATTAAATAAGTCTGCCTGCTGCTCAGAGATGATCTGTATTCTGTCATTGGGGTGTGGAGTAGAAGCCCTTGCTTGTTTTTTAATCTGATGAATCTGTATAGAGCCCATCTTTGAATTATCAAGACAATACCTGTCACAGTATTTTTGGGAGCAAATCAAAGACCAGAACTTAAACTTTCACTTTAGACATTGGATGAATAGTAGGAAGATAGTTTTTCAATTGATTTGGTTAAAAGTCCTTTCTTCATTTTAATGCATTGAAGAGTGTAACTTGAACTTCCTGTAGAACCATTTTTTTCTGTTTTTATTGAAGTTGAGTATTTCTCTTTGGTTAATGTGGATGTTTAATGGGAATATCTGTTAATTGTCAGGTTTTAAAAGAAATTAACCTTGGAGGTTGTTTTCAAGAATTATTCTCAATTTCTGTAACCTACCCCAAGCCTCATAGCTATATGACATTGAAATGACACCCAGAGCGTGATAGGAACTTTGCTACTCTTCCTTTCCCAAGGAGAAAGTCATTTCCCTGCAAGACTTAGTAAATGGCACTGCTGCTTCCTAAAGACTCCTTTGGTGCATTGAAGAGTATCCAACTTCTTGGGATCTCTGCATTTCAGTGAAAGGAGGGAAGGGTGTGCTAATTAATCCACCAGCACCTATTGATTGGTGTCTATACAGTAATTTTGCATACATTTTTATTTAAGGGAAAAAATTTAGGTAGTGTGAAATATTTTGCTAATTCTGTAGAGAAGGAAAAAATTCTTCTATTATTAAAGGGAAAAGTAAATTTAACAGTTACCGTTTTTCTTAATGTCAGGGCAGATCTTATTTTACAGTAGAGTGGGGGAAATAGAAACATGTGGAAAGTGAAAGGCAGGCTCCTGAATTAATCTTAGTAAAGTTGAGGGTGGGCAAGTGAGTGTGTGTGAGGCATAGGAAATGCTGATGACTTCTTGAATGTTCGAAATCCGTTCAGAGGTATGTAGCCCTAGAGAGCCTAGAACAGGAAGAGGCAGTAGGTGTTTTGCAAAACTTGGATGGGGGCAAACTCCCTGAAAAAGTTTTGGTTTAACCCCAGGATGAGTGGGAAAGAGCTTGCTTCCAGGGGCCCAGGTGCTCACTTTGTTTACAGAAGGGAGTCTTGGGTACAATTGGTGAAGGAAGGTAACAAAACACGCTAAAGATTTTATCTATGACTTCCAGAAAAGGAAGAATCTGAACCCCAGCCCGAAAGTGGGAAGGATAAAGTAGTATTATTTAACCTGGTTGGTATTTATAATGAATGGTGATTTTAATTAGTCATTAGCTGTAATGATGTTTATTTGCAGTATAACTCTTGAATGCTACTTAATAAACCAAGATTCAGACTGCAAGCCAACCGGGCTGTTCATTATTTAAAACGTTTTTGTCAGGCTTCTAGGTAGAAGGCCAAGCAGCAGGGTGTGTGTAATTGGGCTGATGAAGGGTGGGACCTGTCTTGACCATCGGAGTCTTAAAGTAGAGGTCCAGGAGGGCCCGCAGGTCCTGTTGGCAGCCCCGTTGTACATAACCACTGAAAGAATGGCGAAATAAATGTTCTTTGAAACTCCTACCTGGATTGGCTAGTCCTTGCGGAAGCAGCTTCTGGGCCCTCGAGTGACATTTGAAGAGCCTGTGTCTCCGGCCGTCTCGGGGCGGGGCCCTGGGGGCGGGGCTGGGGCGGGGTTTCCCAGGGCCCCGACTCAAAGCTGGCGGCGAAGGCTCTGCGCCAGCACTTTCGATTCCCCTTGCAGCGGTTTGTGTTGCTGCCGTCGTCCCGGGGTAAGGCTCTCCTGGACCCTTCCTTCCCTGCTTTCCCTTTCGGAAGCAAAGGCCGAAGGACCTTCTATGCCGCCTCTTCGCCCAACACACAGGCACACGCGGGTACCACTGTCTACTAACGGCCTCTGGGGATGTCTGGTGGGACTTGAAATCCTCCCTCAGTGAAGTCACATCTTACCCGACCGCACCGGGCTGGCCCCTGGCAGAGCGCCCAAGTAGGACGGGAATCGGCTTGGCTCTCCGGAGAGGCCAGGGTCCCTGTTCCCCTCACCCTCCAACGCGGCACGTTCACTCCCCCAGGACTGACCTGAGGAGGGCTGGTTGCCCAGGAAGGCCCCCTCCCGTGCCCTCCCACCCTGCCTCAGAGGCCCCTCTCCCCAAAGAAGCACTCCAGAAATCTCGCCCTCTTGCAGCTGATTGGAGCCCGGGATCACAGACCTGAACCAGGTGAGGCTTCCTTTATTTTAGCCCAAGAAGATCTGAGTGTGGCTCACCTTGCCCACCCCATTCTGCTACCACTCGAGTTTTGGGAAGACTCCAGATTTAGCCTTGACTTTCCCTAGTGAAGGACAGACCCTGACATTACTATGACTGTCCTGAGGCTTTCTTCCTACCTAGCCTTAGAAAGCAATGAGGAAGAGGTTTCCACTCCCGCCCAGGACTTTTTGAGACAGGATTCTTAACCACACCTGTGACCCGTCTAGCCTCTGTTTCCAAGAATCTCTGCCTCATCCAACTTCCTTCTCTTGAAATGAATGACAGCTCAGCTCTACCATTCACTTATGGAAGTCCCTTAAAATGAAATAACTTCTTTTTTTCTTTTTTGAGACAGAGTCTCTCTCTGTGGCCCTGCCTAGAGTGCAGAGTTATCATAGCTCATGGCAACCTCAAACTCCTGGGCTCAAGTGATCCTCCTGCCTCAGCCTCCCAAGTAGCAGGGACTACAGGCGCACACCCACCATGCCCAGCTAATTTTTTCTACTTTTTTTTTTTTTTTTTTTGTAGAGACGGGGTCTTGCTCTTGCTCAGTCTGGTGGAGAACTCCTGAGCTCAAGTGATACCCCCGCCAACCTAGGCCTCCCAAAGTGCTAGAATTACAGACATGAGCCACCACTCCCAGCCATAACTTCTGCTTTTCTTTCGTTTTCCCTTTGGTAGGCAGAGATTGGTCTTTACAATAATGAAAGGAGTTAAAATGTATTGAGATTTCTGATCTGAGACTCCCACGTAACTTGCTCAATTTTCATAGCCTACCTTCCTTAGGTTTCAGCTTGCTCGAATTGTGGTGGGACTCCTTGCCAATCTTGAGAACTTAAACCAAAATTACATCTGGTGTCAGTGCTAACAAGCTTAGCACTGAACTTTGTTTTTTTCTCAGTAGTGAAAAATCCCCGCTGAAGGATGGGTGAGAGATTCTCCCAGCTGGGCTCTCTGTGGGAGGATGAAAAGAAGTTGATCCTGCCCCCTAACCCAGCCGTTGGCAGCAAGGCCTACTCCAGCACGGCTAGCAGCAAGTCTCTTTGTTCCCATGTGCCTTGTGAAGGGGCCACTGGTGCCAGCTTTGTGACATGTCCTACCTGCCAAGGCAGTGGTGAGATCCCGCAAGGTGAGTGACCCAAGGCTCTGGAAATAGCCCGGGATCCAGGGAAGACTCTTAGCCAGCTGCCCCGGGGCCAGCCCTCTGAGTCTCGAATGGGGTTGGATCTGCTCCCAGCTCTTGGTTCCCTGTCTCAGGCTGGCCAGGGAGATGCTAACTATCCCTGGGCTCCCTTCAGAGACCACCGCCTAGTTGTATTCCCCAGCCCCTTGGTGGGGAGGGGGTTGTAGCCACTCTGTTCCTGAGCAACACTCAGGATTCAGTTCAGGAAGTTACAAATTACCTCTCCAAAGAAGCTAGTCTTCTCTGATTTGCTGATGACTTTCAGAGATTCTTCAAACCTGTTACTAGAAATCTCATTTCCATACTAGAGATGTCAAAGCTGAGCTGCCAACTTCCGCAGCACATCCCAGGGCTCCCAGTCCTGCTTTGAGGCAGAGGCAGCATGTTTCTAACATCGCTTTATGGGCTGGCGGTGCTTCTGGGAGGCTGGCACAGGGGATATTTGTCATGGATGCTTCTTGGTCCTCCCTCTCATCCTCTTTCTCTCTAGAGCTGGAAAAGCAGCTGGTGGCTCTCATTCCCTATGGGGACCAGAGGCTGAAGCCCAGGCACACGTAAGCCCCTCTTCCTCCTCCAGTTCCACAAGCTATCACCCTGGGGGTTCCCTTATTTTGATTCCCCCTAATTTTTCCCATTAATCCTTCCCCAGAAAGCTGAGCCTCACCAGGCTCAGAAGTACCAGCTCCCTATTTCCAAGGATTTTCCTGCTTTGAGAAGCCCCAGGCAAAGCAGATGTCACCACAGGCCAGTTAGCATCCTTCCCTGAGCATGGAAAACCTGTTGCTCCCTGTTCTGGGACATTTCAGAATCTCAGAGGCAGCCCTGGGTTTTGTCAGTACAGGAGGACCTGTGACCCTGTTTGTGAGCTGGGTCCATTTCACATAGATCCCTGCAACCTCCTCCCAAGTCCTTGGCTTCAGCCTAGGAGCCACCACCCAGCCCTCTCTGCACCCCCACCACACCAGAACTAGAAACCAGCCATGCCCCTGAGAACATACTAACAAAGTGCTGTCTCTTTGTTGCTGATCTCTTGTTGAATTAGATGGATGGATGGTGTTCTGTTCTGAATATTAATATTAAAATTCAGAACCCTCAAAATGTGGACTTATTTTTTCTAGTGATAATAGCTAGCATTCATTGAGCTTTCGCTATGTGCCAGGGCGTGCAATTATTGTTTTTTCATGCATTAGCCCATAATAAATTCTGTGAGATTGGTACAGTTATCTCCATTTTACAGACAAGGACACTGAGGCTTAGGGAGGTGAGCTGCACAATGTTATTGGGTCAGTGGGAACAGCTGGGAATGGAAGCCAGGCTACCTGCCTTCCAGCCCTGTGCTCCCACCCACTCTGGGCCACATCTATCTGGAAAGCCAAATGTGCAGTTGTGGAGGGAGGGGTGTGCAAGAGAGCCTTGTGTATGGCGAGGAGTGTGAACCCCCTCCCCAAGTTTCCTTCAGACTTCTCCACTCCTCCATTATGGGTCCTCCTTCCCTACAGGAAGCTCTTCGTGTTCCTGGCCGTGCTCATCTGCCTGGTGACCTCCTCCTCCATCGGCTATTTCCTGTTTCCGCGGTCCATCACCGTGCAGCCTTCAGGGCTCAACTCATCCACGGTGGCCTTTGACGAGGCTGACATCCACCTCAACATAACGGTGGGTGGGTGCCCCGGGCTCTGACCCCACCTTCCTGGCAACACTTCCGTAGGCTTTGTCCAGTGTTGCAACTCTGGCATGGTTAGCCAGGGATCTTGTGACACCCAGAAGGTGTTGGTAGCCTGGGGAGAAACAGGGGCAACCATGAGCCCCATAACAGATTGTGAGGACTGGGATCTACGCAGTAAGGGGCTAGAGACATAAATCTTAGGGTAGAGTGAGGGTGGGCAGCCTGAGACGCCGGGGATGGGCGGGACTGAATGGAGAGAAACGCGCAGGATGAGCCCAGATCTGAGCCAGCTGAACTTCTAAAAGGTGACTCCTCACCTTTAAGATTCCCCCCGCCCCCAGGGGTGCCTAGTACTGATCCTCTACACCTGGGGCCCCTCGTGGTAGGGTGGGAGTCAGGCCAGAAAGCCAGGCTTCTGCAACTGCTTGGCTTCTCCCTTCCAAGGATGGGCCACCCTCACCCCTCCCTTTCCTTGTCTTCATCCCCAGAATATCTTGAACATCTCCAATAGCAACTACTACCCCATCACGGTGACCCAGCTAACCATCGAGGTTCTGCACCTGTCCCTCATGGTGGGGCAGGTTTCCCACAGCCTTCTCCTACACATCGGCCCTTTGGCCAGTGAACAGGTGACTCCCCTCTCCCTGGCCAGCCCTGCCCACAGGTGTGTGGATGTGTGTGGTGGTGGGAAGGGGGCAGCTGGAGTTGGGGCTAACCGTGTGCCCATTTGGTTGACAGATATTTTATGCGGTAGCCAGCAGGATATCGGATGAAAACACATAGTGAGTACCCCTTGATCTCTTCTCCCTTAGTCTCTTACCTGGCTTGGAAACCCAGTTAGTACCCACCAGGCATCCTGATCGCTTAGCAAATTCTGTAGCTGGCATCTGGCCTGCCCTCTGGTGGCCAAGACTGCAATGTGCAAGGATTCAGGGTCCCCAACCTCTGTCTGTTTGGTCCTAGATTAGAATGAAAAGCAGGCTGGAATTTGGTTAATCTTTACAATATGTGACCTTGGACTCTTCAGCCTGAATCACTGAGAAAGATGAGTGTCTTGTTTTCTGCTGGGGAAGGGACCCGCATGTGCCTCAAACAAGTGGGGGTTAGAGTGACATTGTAGCAGGGTGGCCGTGCTCACCTTAGAGGGGGAGAGAAGGGGGGAGAGTGGCATCTTGGGGGCCCCTGATAAAAGGAGAGGAGCCTGGGGGGCAAGGAAACTGGGACCTGCAGGAATCCTCCGAACTTTCTGACAGGCTACTCCATGTGAAACATGGTCCTATGTTTTCTTTCTCTCTCTCTCAGCAAAATCTGTACCTGGCTGAAAATCAAAGTCCACCATGTACTTTTGCACATCCAGTAAGTAGGGCTTGGAGCTCTGGAATCCCCTCTCCCGCTCTGACTGCAGTCTTACCTCAGCTCCACCTCTTCGGAGGAGAAAGAGTCATCGAAGCTGACCCGTGAATATTTGTTGGCTCTTGGGAAGAGCAAGCCCAGCCCCTTCCCTAGGTCTCCCCTTACTTATAAGCTATTGGGACAACAGCCACAGTGCTGTCTAGGAGCTGCTGTGACACAGGTAGGGCAGCCCCCTCAGGTACCTTGGCAGAGTGGGGAGCAGAGGGGAGGGAGAGGGAGGTCTGAGGGAGCCAACCCTCCCCAGACAGCAGGACAGGGCCAGAACTTTCCTCTTCCTCCCAGACATGTCAACAAGGCCTGCTTCCTCTCCAGGGGCACCCTGACCTGTTCCTACCTGAGCCATTCAGAGCAGCTGGTCTTCCAGAGCTATGACTACGTGGACTGCCGGGGAAACACGTCGGAGCCCCACCTGCTGGTCCCTCACCCACAGTGACCCGTCTGCTGTCCCTGTACTCCAGGCACCTACAAGCCTGGTCTGTATCTCCCACAACTCCGTGGTGACCAAGGAAGGACTATAGTGGCTTTGCCAAAGGAAAAGCTCTGCTTTGTTGTACCTTCACCCCCGACGCCTCAGCACAGGAAGCTTGCTGAAGTTAACTTCATCCACGCACACCCTCGCATCCTCTGATTTCCCCAGGTCCTTTCAGGAGCCAGCATCAGGTCCTGCCCTCGTTCTGTCTTGAGGGAAATCCGACCTGGCCTTTTCTTGAGGTGCCTTAGAGTCCCTGGAGTGGCACCTGCCTTTTCTGTACTGAGCACCCTGGCTGCCCCGCTCCACTGGGGCTGGCTCTCCTGTCGGTGTGTTTATCTGGCTTTTAAGTCATGGACTCTTTTTAGATTTTCCACTAGTGATGAGAAAGTGACTGTGGGGACACTCACTGTTGTCTCCAAGGCCTTTTTTGGGACTATAGATGCTTTCCTGTGCCTGTCTGCTTTGGTCATGTGATAAAATAACAGTGATGGCCTGCTTCCCTCTGGTAACTTGTCCCCTGTCCATCTGACAGGAGGATTGGCCAAGGCCCTTTGGCCCTTTGTCCTTCCTCGTTGTAATGACTGTGCCTGGTTCTAAGGAAGAGAGAGATCTTCTCCAGTTAAAGCTTCTCCTCTCTGTAAAACAGTTTTACCGTTCTCTTCATAGCCAAAGTAGTAGGGAAGAGGAGGGAAGCACCTGGCACCCCCTGGACCTACACAGGAAGGACGGGGCCAAAGGCAGAGTAATTTTAAACGGTATTTATTAAAGGAGGGTTTCTAAACCCACACCAAGCCCCTCTGAGTGGATACAGGGAGGTCAGACAGTGGGCCCAGTTGTTGTCTTCTGAAAGCCCGCAGGAGATGAAGCTGTCAGCATCCATCCAACGCTGCTGGGCTCTGTTCCACCCCAGCTCAGCACCAGGGCCTGCTCTGCCTCCCAGAGGCCTCTGCTCTCCCCCGGACTTTGACAGTGCAGAGCAGCACAGCAGCAGGGACCCCTCGCTTTCCTGTCACCCCGCTGAAGCTAAGCCCCAGATCACGCCTTCCTGCCTGGCTCCTAGTGGAAGTGGTTTCTGTACTTTAATGGAACAGGAAGGGTTATTTGTTCATTAAACGTGGCTGGGTCGTTATTATTCAGACAGTTGGAGGTATGAACAGAGGTGGATCGGGAAAGCTGCATTTGAAGTAGAATGGGTGGAGAGGGGAAATGGGGACAGCTTAGCTGGTTGGGGCACAAGGGGAAGGAAGGAGGTCTGTGTCCAAGCTGAGGCCAAGGTGGTGCTGGCAAGAGCATGGAAGTCCAGGGAGGCCAGGCCAAAGCTGCTGTGTAAGTCACCAAATGTAAAGGATTTATATTGTGTTCAATAAACTATACTTAATGGTGTTCAAAAAAGTCTCCTGGGGCCGGCACGAAGGTAGTGAGCTTTCTCTGTTGTTCACGGTCAGTTACAGATCGAAGTCTTTGTCTACTCTTTCCCCTTCTCACTACAGAGTGAGACTCTGTCTCAAAAAAAAAAAAAAAAAAATTCTCCTGAGAGTGGGAAGGGAGCTTGTGGACACTCCTTATTTCACAAATTGTTTCTTTCTTTCTTTTTTTTTTTAAGAGACAAGAAAAAGTCTCACTCTGTCACTCAGGCTGGAAGGCAGTGGCAGATCATAGATCATGGCTCACTGTAACCTTGACCTCCTGGGCTCAAGTGATCCTCCTGCCTCAGCTTCCTGAGTTGCTGGGACTACAGGCATGTACTACCTGGCTATTTTTAAAAATTTTTTTAGAGATAGGGTCTCACTATGTTGTTCAGGCTGGTCTCAAACTCCTAGCCTCAAGAAATCCTCCCACCTTGGCCTCCCAAAGTGCTAGGATTACAGGTGTGAGCCACCTCGCCTGGTCACAAGTTGTTTCTTAATGTTCGAGTAGGCATCAAGGTCTCTCAGGGCCTCTCCACAGGCCCCTGTGCCCCTCTGATAACATGTCCTGCTTTTCTGGCTTCTGAGAGGTTGCTCACAGGGCTCGTTCTCTCCCTCTTTATCGCATTGTATATCTGTAAGGTCTCTTTCAACTTTAGTATTTCTGTTCTGCGCCACCAGCCCCCATTGCCCTCCCCATCTGCTCCCATCAGGAAACGTCCCTGGGCTGCAATGAGATGGGGCTCCTTCAGGCTGACGACAGGCGTTGCTACATGGGCTACGATAAAATGACCCAGCTGACCCCTCAGACCAGGGTTGTGATTGAGGTGACTGAAGCAGCCTTTCCCATCATGGGGGAAGAAAGGACTTCCCAGGGCTTGCACATTGCTGAAGCCTGCCAACCGGGATCCCCAGCCCTGCCACCTCTTCCAACTTGGGCTGGCGAGGGGGATCCCTGGGGCCTTGGCAGTCTCTGGGTTGTCTCTGCCGAATGGAAGCGCCGTGAGCCAGGAAGAGAGAGACCCCCTCCCCTTCCCAGGTCAAGTATCCCCTGCCCAAGGCCACAGCCCCCCTTTCCTCTGAGCTCTTTTCTCTCCACCCCCGTCCCCATGATCCACTTAACAGCTGAGTGCCTGTGGGCCGGCATTGCCCTGGGCTTGGAGGCGTCCCTGTCTGCCACCTCTTTCTGCTGCTGTCCCAGGCCTGCTTCAGTTTGGTGCAACCCCTCCTTCTGCAGCCTGTATCTCAATAAGCATGGGATTGGGGGAAGGGGTGATGGATCTAGTGACAGTCATAAACTGGAAGCCCCCAACAGACCTATCATTGCTGAATAAGGGCAGGTAGTAATAGTAGGAGGAGTTGCAGACACGGGGCCCAAGACCAAGTTCTCCCATGGGCTTTGCTGACAGAATGGAATTGCCTTCCACTGTCTTCTCCCACCCGCTCCATCCCCTTCATGGGTCCCCCTGCCCACTTCCCAGTCTCATAAAGCTGACCGGTCTCTTGATTCTTTCCAGGAAGAAATCACACTTTATCCCCAGCTAGCCTCCTCTTCCAGAGTGGATGGCTTTTGGAGTGGAGATGTTGCTGGGTGGTAAGGAAGTGTGGTTGCTCATCTGCTTTTTCACAAGGGCTGGTGGGGTCTTAGTTTCGATCTCTGGATCACCATTGCTGCAGGTAATTCGTAGACTGAGAGGAGAAAGACAGGAAGCAAAACAAGTTAGTTAGCAGCTTCTGGGCCTGCTGGTTTCAGGACATAACAGCAGGCCGGGCACAGTGGCTCACACCTGTCATCCTAGCACTCTGGGAGGCCAAGGCAGGAGGATCGCTTGAGCTCAGGAGGTCGAGACAAGCCTGAGCAAGAGCGAGACACCATCTCTACAACAACAGAAAAATTATACAGAGTAGTCCCAGGTACTTGGGAGGCTGAGGCAGGAGAATCGCTTGAGCCCAGGAGTTTGAGGTTGCTGTGAACCAGGCTGACACCACAGCACTCTAGCCCAGGCGACAGAGCAAGACTCTGTCTCAAAAAAAAAAAAAAAAAAAAAAAAGTAACAGCAATAAGCCCTTCGAGGGCCAGAGGAATCAGAGTGAAATGTAGCAGCCTAGTCCTCATCCTAAACATGCTAGCGTCAGGTTTTCTCATCCTTTACACCTATATCAGAGAAAGCTTTCCAAAGCTTGCACCATTTTATATTCTTAAGAGTTATCATCCTGGGTTTTGTTTTTTGGTATTGATTGAGATGGGGTCTCACTACGTTGCCAAGGCTGGAGTGCAGTGACTATTCACATGCGCAATCATAGCACACTAGCGCCTCAAACTCCTGGCCTCAAATGATCCTTCCTGCCTCAGCCTCTCAAGTAGCTGGGACTACAGGCATACCACTGTGCCCACCACCCTGGGTTTAGTGGCCTACAATGAGCCAGACTCTAAGTGCTTTCATGCTGTCTCCTTTAATTGTGATGTTCAGTCCTCATAGCACCTCTATTGAGAAGGTGGTATTACCACTCTTACTTTATGGATGGCACTGAGCAATAGGCCCTAACCAGACATTTTTACTTTTTTTTTTTTTTTAGAGATGAGGTCTCACTATGTTGCCCAGGTTGGACTCAAACTCCTGGGCTCAAGTCAAATGATCCTCCCCTGCAACTACAGGTATGCCCCACCGTGCCCAGCTTCCTACCCAGTCATTTTTAATGGGGGCAAGGAATGGTGGAATGGACCATCCAGAAGTGAGTTTGAAATAATTCCAGTTTCTCCCCCGACTCCTGCTAAGGAAGCCTCTACAGACTACACACACACACACTCACTCACTCTCTCTGTCTATGTCTCTGTCTCTGTCTCTGTCTCTCTCTCTCTCTCAGACACTCAGAATATCCGTCCCTCACATTCTGTGTGTCTCTCACCTTGAGTCGTGAATACCCAGTGCATGTGGTAGGGCCACACTGGCACGGGCCTCTGAGACCTGCTGACGAATCAAAGCACAGGTTACTCAGTTTTCTGAGAGTAAAACATGGTGGGGCTGGACTCCTGGCCTGGAGGCTGGGGGGGTTCCTACCTAGGGCGAGGCAAAGACTGAGCCCATCCTGAAGATTCCCAACTAGAAAGCCACGCTGTGCTTCCCTGTTCCACACCTCACAGGGCTCCATGTGTCTGTTGGTAAGCCTGCAGCTCAAATCCCACCCTCTGATTTCCCCCACCTCCTGTCACCCTTGCCCTGGAAGAGGGGCTGGCAACTTTTCTGCCACCCTCTGGAGAACTTGGCAGACTTCTTTACAGCCTCAGGTTGGCACAAACCCACCCAAAGAGAGTGGCCACCAAGGCAGAAGAGGCCAGAGGTACTGGGGAGAGTCGGCGGGGGAGGCAGACATGACTCCTAGACTATAGGACTGGGGTGGGAGCGAAGGGCTCCCTCGCCACCTCCCCCTGCCAGGCACCTCACCAGAGCCTGTAAGGGTTTTCCGCCCCCCCTTGGAGCCTGTTGTTCCTACAGCGGGGTTGCCCACCAGCCTAACAGGCCGCCCAAGCTGGAGACCTGGCATCTGGGAATCCTGGAGATTGCACTTGGGAGGCCCCTCAGGAAAGGAGTTTTGAGCACTTTGCTGCATCGGCTGCGGTGGTGGCTGTGGCGGCGGTGGCGGTAGCTGTGGCTGCGGCGGCTGCGGTGGTGGGGACTTCGGCTGCTGCTGTGGTGTTTGTGATTTTGCCTGTGATGGCTGTGGCTCCTTTGACTCCTGAGGTGGCTTGGTGGTTTTCTCCAATTGGGCTTCCTCCTCTTGGAGTTTGTTCAGTTCCTGGCAAGAAGCCCCCGGCAAGTGGCATCCTCCTCTCTCCCCACCCAGTCACCCACCTGCCAGAGGGACTTCCAGGAGCAAGGCAAGTGAATAGAGAGGTGTAGGCGGTGGTGGTGGAGGGCCCTCTCTGTTCCCTGGAGCTGGAGTTCGAAGCTGGCCTGGGCTGTCTCCCTTCGCCCGCCAGAACACCCAATAACTGTTTCTGGGTGACAGCGCCCCTTGACACAGCCCCTGCCCAGGAAATAGCACTGTCCCTGAGCACCTACCTCCTAGCTTTGGAGCTGGCCACTGAAAGCAGTTTTCAGTGAGGGAGGATAAAGAATAACCTTGGCAATGCTTTGAAACAGCCCTGTCCAATAAAAAT